GGACTTGCTTCCGATGTTCGCTTCGGGCGCTCTACTGTCCCAAGTTGCTTGCCTTTGCCACGTGTCGGGCGATTGCGAGGTCGGGCCAAATTTCCCTTCATCAGATAGCACATTCCTTTCTCATCCCCTTTTTAATATAGATTTTTTTCGGGGGTTCTTAATGGTTGATAAATGTACAGAAACTCTTTGTACAAAGAATCATACATGTATACTTTATTTTCAGTTAATACAATGTACATTTCCTTTAAAAAAATTAAAAAAAGAATCATACATGTATACTTTATTTTCAGTGATGCAGTAGGTATGGCCCTGAACTAACTAATCAATGACTAATATGGTGCCTTGATAACACTGATCCTATGTTAAAAAATGATGTCAATGTTCATAAAATAATGCAACATGTAGAAAAAATAAAATTACAGCAGGTATCCTAGAGGTAGGTTCCAAAAGGATTTATTGTCAAAACATTCCTACAATTATTATTGTTATTCCGTACTCCTTTTTCATGACTTGAACCAAGTATTATACTTTCACTAGTTGATCAAAGGGTGGAATTTATCAGTAAAGACGATTTTCTGTGAAACACTCACAACAGTTGTAGAACTAGAAGCATGTCTTGATAGGCCCAGTTGCTGCAGCAATGCAACTTTGCAAATAGTTTTTCCCTTGGTGTCATCTGCTGAATACTTTGCTGGAAGATGTTTGTCTTTAGAAGGATCCCATACAGTGTCATCAAGTCCATAAGGAGCAAGCAACAATTTCTCCCTAAAAAAACGTGTAAATGATAAGGAACCAGTAAGGATTTGATGACTGTTTCTCATATAACTGATAATAAAAATGATTGTTTTTTATAATAGCTATAATATATTAGTATGAGAACACAAGCACATGAGCCTTAAAGTATTTCATATATAGGAAGCCATGTTCCTTTCCAGTTCACACTGGAAAAGGAACAGTATCATAAGCATGTTGCTCACTTGTGGATGGATAAGGTGGGCTCCAACCCATGACTCAGACTTCGAATAATCCTGCTTTTGGAGTGGATTGATGACATCATCACAACTTTGTTAGAGTACACAATTCCACCCTGCAAATTCATGAACAGAAATTCATATCAAAATTGCCAACCATCTTAACTCTAGCACATACATGTATTAAGAGCAGATACAGCAATAGGAATTCCATTTTCTCAGAATTTTGCAATTCAACATTCATGAACTTAAGATCATCCAGTTTCACTTCTAGAACATATGTGTATATGTATATTGAGATAAACCTGTAAGTATATCAAGAATAAGGAAGCCACTAAAACCTAAACAAAAAACTTCAAGAAAACAATCCCACACAATGTACTCTCAAATCCACAGAAAAATGATGCATTGAGCCCATTATGTTTAATCAGAATTAGCACTAATGCATAAGTAAGCCAACATTACCAGCATATGGAGTAAACCATTCTTGTTGGAATATTTAGTTTGTTAAGAGGAAGAGTTATTTTAACAGGAAAATATATAGTCAGGGGTTTAATAATAATATCAGCCTCATTGGGGGGTTTTCTTGTTATTTTGGATAAATTTAAAGGGTATCTCATTAGAAAGAGACACAATTACCAGGTGGTATTTGTTAGACCAACGATCTATACTCCTCTTTTTCTTCTATCTTCTCCTTTCTCATTATTCACAAGAACATGACACCAGAGAAACAAGAAGAAGGTTTGGACAACAATGAAGATGTTGATAGTAATCAGATTTGTTAATCAACTTTAGGTCCATCCGGATTTCACTATAATTCTATTTCCTCTTTCATTCAGTTTTTGTTTATTATTTGGCATTTTGGAATTTCTATCATCTTGCTTATTCAACCTCCATTAGCATATTGTTTGGCATTTTAGAATTTTACTATAATTCAGAATTAGCAGGTGTTTATTCAACCTCCATTAGCTATGTCATTCTTGGATTACCTGGTTTTTAAGAATTTTTACAGAAATTTTCAAGTAGTTTTTTATGCCTAAAAAGGAATTCAGTACATTTTTTCTTCCCAAATATCAAGAAAAATCAGATATCAAAAGAACATTGTGTCCAGAATTAACATCATACCTGACCAGATTGAGAAAATGGGGTAGAATTCCATGAATGGCCTTCCAGGGTGTTGCAAGAGTCGCACGTCGAGATACCCCGGCATCCCAACCGTTCTGCAAACAGCCATGAATACTATTCACAACCTTGTGCCACAACCTCTCTCTTTCTAATGGCCATCTCCAAAGCCACTTCCCTAGTAAAGCTTCATTCTTAAGAACTAGATTTCCCAATCCTAATCCCCCTTCTTCCTTACTCTTGCTGACTATCTCCCACCTAATCAAGTGATCCTTCTTTTCTTCCCCTGGCTCCCACAAGAAATCCCTCATCACCTTTTCTAACTTCTTGGCTTCCCTTGAGGGTATCTTGAATACAGAAAGAAAATAAACCAAAAGACTAGCAAGTGTCACCCTAAGGTCACTCTACCCTCTATCGAAATGCAACTTTTTTTTCCAAGCAGCCAGCCTCTTTTCAAGCTTTTCCACAATTGGATACTAGAACCGACTTTCTTTTGGGTTAGCTCCTAACAGAAGGCCCAAGTAGGTTAAAGGTCAATCAGACATGGAACACTCTAGAGAACCCGCTATAGCCTCTACCTCCCAATCTTCCAAATTGATTCCCACCACACAACTTTTGTCAAAGCTAATCGATAGGTTTGAAGCAAACTCAAAGAATTTAATAAGATCTTTTAGGTTCCTCACTCTCCCTAAGTCTCACCCTTCACAAAAGATGATGATATCATCAACAAACTGAAGATGAGTCACCGTGACCATTATTCCCGCCTATCCTCCAACCTCTTATTAACCCTTCCCTATCTGCTTTAGAATCATTCTACTGAGCACATCTGCCACAAGTGTGAACAAAAAGAGGGAAAGAGAATCTCCTTGCCTAAGCCCTCTACATGTTGGGAAGAAATCCTTGACCCCTCCATTAACTAGAACTGAAAATTGGCAAGATGTTATGCATCCACTCACCCACCTTACACCATTTATCCCCAAATCCACATTTCCTTAGCACTTCTAATAGAAAATCCCAATCCACTGAGTCATAGGCCTTCTCAATGTCCAGCTTACAAATAAAACCTTGATTGTTGGATCTCCTCATTTCCTCCACACATTCATTTGCTATAAGGATCAGATCTATAATTTGCCTATCTTGGACAAAAACACCTTGGGTTTGAGTAATGAGAGACGGAAGGACCTTTTTAATCCTTAAAGAAAGCACTTTTGCCACAATCTTATAGATGTTAGTCACCAAACTAATCGGCCTGAAATATTTAGGGTGTTTGGCATCTGATCTCTTTGGGATGAGAGCTAAGAAAGTGGCATTAACTCCGCAACTAATCACATGGTTGATTTCAAACTCCCTAAACACCTCAAACAATTCTTCTTTAATAATGTGCTAACACTCTTCATAGAAAGCCATGGTAAAACCATATGGTCTAGGAGCATAATTTATAAATTAAAATTCTTAAGTTTTATGGGATGGGAAAAAACCCAACTCTCCTATCTAACCATAAAGCATGCATTGGCACAACTTCTAAGTGAAAATATAATTAATAATTATTTATTATTTAAATAATGATTATTTATTTTTTATTTTCAAAAATTATAAAAAATAAAGAAGCATTATACAATATATTCAAAAATTAGTTATTAAAGAAGAAATTTCAATTTCTTTGTGAATATGATAGATCATCCATAGAATTATAATCAAATGATAAAATTTAATTAATTATTATTTATTTTAAATTCTAAAAATATAAAAATAAAAAAAAGTAATTATTAAAGATTTTCAACTGCTCTGTGGATATGAGAGATCATCCATAGAATTATAACATATTCAATCGTTGTGATCAAATGATAAAATATAATTAATTATTATTTATTTTTCAATTAATCCATAGATCTAAAACATATTAAGTCTTTATAGGTAGAGAAAAAATTACATTTTCAAAATTTTTGTTAATTTATATTTTTCCAAAATATCTTCATGAAATTTCCATAGGTTTGCTCATAACACAAAAGGATTGTGATTTTGAATGCAAGAAATGTAGATCAACATAAATTTAAACGTTCAAGAAAAAAAAGAAATCACAAGATATTATAAAAAAATGAAAAGACTTACTTATTTTTTCCATATTTTTTCAAAATTTGAAAAATCTTTGAAAAAGATTAATGATCCATGCTTGTTTCTTGCAAATTTTTGCATATCTAGCACTCTAAGAATGAGGTTTGGAATTTTAGAGTCATTTGGGGGGTGAAAGAAGGCTTATTTCAAGGTAAAGAAGCTTGCTTTCCCCCCTTTTTTTCAGTTTTTGGCCGAATCTTTTTTGTAGCGTATTAGTCGCTACGCTATCGATATGCCCCGATACGGTGGAAAAAAGATGATACCACCGATTTTCCAATGTATCTCATATCAGACTTTTAAAGATACGATATTTGAAACCTTGATTCTACCTGCACCCAAACAAAGAAAGGAACCATTCCCAAATTGAAGAAGAAAAGGGCAGGAAATTAATAAGTGATAGCAATTCTAACCATTGATTTTGCAAAGGGAGCACCAGTGAGGGGAAAGGCACCAATTGGGTCCTTTTCTTTGTAGTAGCTCACAAGTATTAATTCTTTCCAAATACATTTCCCAACACAAGCCACCCACCTTGGGAGGAATAGGATTACACCAAATTTCTTTGAATGGAAAGGAAGACCTTTGGCTTTCAATTGATTGAATAAGGGTTGAAAAAATGAACCACAAGAGAAAGTACCTAAGGGCGAGGGGGTCCAGATTCTCCTATCCCTCTTACTACCTTCCAAAAACACCCCTTCCAAGTTCTATAGGAGGTCATTGACAATGTTCATTTCATTGTCATGTAACCCTCTTCTTAAACCCAAATCCCAATTGAATTAGGCAAGGCCAAAAAGCAAGAGATGGGTTCCTACCTACGGTTGGAAATGGTATAAATAGAAGGGATTGTGTTCCTAGTGATTCACTGCCCACCCAAACATGATCCCAAAATTTAACATGGTTTCCATCTCCCGAACAATACCTGGTGTGTGGTAAAAAGAGGGGTAGAACATCATAGATGGACTTCCAAGATGAAGCCCTTGTATCCCAAAATCCCAGCCATCCACCGCAAGACCATGAATGCTAACTATCACCCTTGCCCACAACTTGTCCCTCTCCATTGGCAATCTCCACAACCATTTTCCTAGAAGAATCGCATGCTCTCAAGAATCACATACTGTGATGGAGATTTTTTGTCCTACATGAAGAACCATGAAATACAATTTCCACGGAACTATCCTAACACTCCTCACCAAAATGATGTGGCAGAACGTAAGAATGGACATGTTCTCAATGCTGTGAGGCTGCCAATACAGTCGGGTTTCTTATCAATTGTGTTCCTTCTTCTATTCTTTCTAACATGTCTCCTCATCAGAAATTATTTGGTTTCCCTCCAAATTTGTCTAATCTTCATGTTTTTGAATGTGTATGCTCTGTACATCTCCCCTCTCGTGAGTGTTCTAAATTTTCTCCCCAATCTGTTATGTGTGCATTTGTGGGATATAGTCCTAATCACAAAGTGTTTCTTTGTTATAATCCTTCTACTCGTCGTATTCGTATTTCTTGGAATTTAGTTTTCCTTGAGCATATTACTTTCTTTTTTGGAGTTGCCAAACTATCTGCACCATTTGTTTCTATCTTGTATGATTTTGATTCACAGGATACTCCATCTTCATCTGTTGTGAAAGATCTTGTCTTCTCTCGAAAGCGAGTCTGTGGTTCATCTCCTACACCTACGACCCCCCTTCCTCCCGGTCTAGATCTTCAATCAGTCTCAGTACCCCTACTATCATTACCCCTATAAGTGATACTCCCATTTTTTATTCCTCTATTGCTCCTTCTACTCCTTTGTGTCGTTCTACCTGTGTTTCTCAACCACTTGACCGATTGATTTCCCATCAAATCATAACTCCTTTTGTGTTGTCTTATCCTCCACAGATATCCTTCTTTCTTACCAGCAAGCCAGTTGTAGGCCTCAGTGGGGAGATGCCATGGACGTAAAGATTCAGACCCTGCATGAGAATGACACTTAGGACTTAGTACCAGCTCCTTCAGATGGCTTCTATGATTGGGAGTAGATGAGTTTACTCGATTAAGTTGAAATCAGATGGCTCCCTAGATCAGTATAAGGCTCGTCTTGTGGCTCAAGGTTATAATCATACATAGGAGTATGGTATTGATTATGAGGAGCCGTTTGCTCTCGTGGCTAAAATCACTACCATCCGAGTTCTCTTAGCTCTCTCAGCTACACACTCTTGGTCTATCTATCATTTGGACATGAAAAATGCATTTTTACATGGGCATCTCAAGGAGACAGTGTATATGAAACCTCCAACTGGGTACTGTAATGATCTTTCTCTTGTTTACCAATTGAAGAAATCATTATATGGACTGAAACAAGCTCCTCAATCATAGTTTGAAAAATTCTGAGATGTCATTGTTGATGCTAAATATAGTCAGAGTGCTTTTGATCATTCTCTCTCTGTTCGAAAAAGGCCTCAAGGTATCACAATTCTTCTCTTATATGTGGATGACATATTATTGACTGGAAATGTTCGAGGAATTCAAGAACTAAAATTACTACTTCACAGTTCCTTTCACATGACGGATTTGGGTCCTCTTACCTATTTCTTAGAACTTGAAGTCCAAAGGAGTCATCGGAGATACCTTGTTTGCCAACACAAGTATGCATCTGATCTTGTCAAGCTAGCAGGCCTTACTGATAATAAGTAGGTTGATACCCCCTAGAGCTAAATGTTCAAGGTTTAAAATGTCGATATTAGTGGAAATGTCGGTCATCCAAATATGAGAAACGTGTCGGGAATGTCAGAAATATCGTACGGGAATATTGTAAAAATTATAGATATGGTGGAAACATTGTAAAATATGCAAAATATAGAACAATATTTTATGAAATGATAAAAGAAGCATAGGCACAGCTTTTTAAATTATTATCTTGTTCCAAATCATTAAACAAAGCTAAGAAACTAAGGTTGTAGACAAAAAATATGTTTTGAAGTTGCCTTGTAAAGCTTAAGATTTAGAGCTTCATGGTAGAATGAGTTAAAACAAAATTTAAACTCATAAAAAAATGTAAATGATTGTAATAGATCAACCAAATAATCTATTACACAAGCAAAAACCAAATAATCTATAATACTATCTCTTGTACTCCACATAGTACCGGTAGTGCTCACCAACTTATGCTATAATTCTATCTCTTGTACTCCACATAGTACTAGTAGTGTTCACTGGGGAATATGTCAACTCTAGTAAAATTTCATGTTGCTACCCAGGAAATGGAAATGGAAATATGTCATCGGAAACTATCTCTAGTACTCCACATAGTGTTGGCAGTCTTCATTGGGAAAATGTCGATTCCGGTAAATTTCATATTGCTACCCATGGAAATGGAAATATGTCGTGGAAATATTAGGGAAATAAGGGACATTTTAAACCATGTAAATGTTAAGTTGTCTAAGTCAGAAGGTCCCTTACTCACTAATGCTTCCATTTATCGACAACTTGTAGGGTCTCTTATATATCTCACCATGACTCGTCTTGATACTTCTCATGCAATTCAGGTTGTTAGTCAATTTACTTTTGCCTCTTGTCAACCTCATTTGATTGTTGTCCACCGGATTATTTGCTATGTTTGTGGTACTTTATCACAGGACTGTTCTCTTTGTCCTCTCCTCTCCAATTGACGGTCTATGTCTTCATGGGTGATTCCATCATCTCCTAGAAATGCAAGAAACAACAAACTGCCTCTGAACACTTACACCCTGTTTGGCATCACTCCGGAGAACCGTTTCTAGCGATTCTTCAAAGTAGAATGTGTTTACGTTTACCTACAACAGAGAATTGATATGTTTTTCAAAGGAATTTTTCATTTGAAGGCACGTTTCTTTTAAGTGATATTTTTTCACTTCTAAGGATGAGAAAATCTCATTTCCTTTATAAATTAACTATCACGTGCTGCTTTTGCACGTGAAATCAGGGGCATTTTAGTATTTTACCATAAACACAAAAAAGCTCTTGTGAAAGAGCCCTAAACCGAATAATCACCTTCATCCTCTTGCTTTCAATGGATATCTTCGCTTGATACTCAGTATTTAATTTTTTCGAGAACAATTCCATGGCATTATTGCTAAAGCGATAGAAGGAAGCAATTCCATGGCGCTAGGTCTTGCTATTCCGTTTTGAATCAAAACCTAGTACTGTCGAACTCTGGTTTTTTAATTCAACGTATTGGAGCTGTTTTGTTTTGAATCAAAACCAAGTACCATCAAGCACTGGTTTTTTAATTCAACATGTTGCTATTTTGTTTTAATTCCATGGTGTCAGGTCTCATGCTATTCTGTTTTGAATCAGAGCGTGTTGAAACTTGCAACTCAGGCTCTCTTTGTCTCACCACAGAGCTTTGGTTTTTAATTCAACCGTCCAAGCTCGATTTACCCACCCATGAAAATCTATGCTCTCCAAATTTAAAAAAAAAAAAATCCATGAAAAATCAATATTTTTTGGGCCTTTTCTTTCAGCTTATTAGTGATTTTGATTCAAGCTATTTCATTATTAATTAACCCAGTCCTGCACTTCCCCTGTTCACAGTTTTGTGTACAACAAGAACCAGATGAACTTGCAACGAAAACGATCGATCCACAATTGGACCACCAGCACAATGAGGGATGTCGTTCCACTCAATTTCACCAAGACATGCTACTTCATCAATGGCAAGGGATTCTGCTATGGCAGCGTGAAAGCCACCGTTCATTTCCATTGCCAACATCTTTGCCAGAGAAGAGCACGAATGTATCTCTCTATCCAATTATAGAAGCCAAATTGTTTTGCCAGTTGTGTTCACCATTGTTGCTCTCTTGTGGGACAACTTTATTGGGTTCTGGTACTAGTAAGACAACCAATTACCCCACACACTCTAACTTGCACTTGTGAAAGAGAGTTGCTTGTAAACGTTTTGGTTCATCTTGTTTAATGAATGAAGTTGCTAAAAGGAAGGGGGTTTCAAATTTGTACTCTGTAATAGTGATTGCTTTTTGAGTTGTTTCCACTTTTTGGTTGAATTAAGGATGATCCGATCTAGGTGTAGTAAAATGTGTGATCTTGTTTCCAAGAAACAAGAATTAGATGAATGTGCCAAATGCATCTACAAAATTCTCTAGACGAGAATTCTGAGAATCAGAATTTTCAGAATTGATGCCAAACAAGGCCTTAATTCTTGTAAGCAAACTGATGCTTAAGAATGTGCATCAGTTTGAGGGGGAGTGTCAAGAGTCCTCATGTTGTACTGTATTATCACAGCCCATTTGTATGTTGTATACTATTTGTTTTTCTTCTTTAATCCTATAAGGGTTTTTATGTAATTGTATATATATATTTGGACTCTTTGGGGTGTGGGTCGATCCACTCAGTTAGACACCCCAGAATTCTGTTATGTTCTCTTGTGTTTTCTCTTGTACGAACTGGGCTGGTGACAACGCACAAACAATACCAAGAAGAGTATAAAATAAATAAAGAGCAAGCAATATGCTTTTATAATTTTTGTTTTGTTCTGCTTTCTTGGATAGATGTTAATTACCTAAAGATTCGTTATTACCTTCACCTTTATGTATCATCAAAATATTTTTTATTAATAAGAGCCAAAATAACATAATATACTTGGTAAGAAAAAAGTTAAATAAACTGCAAGCATATGTCAAATATTATTCCAACCTCATGGACAAGGTGGTTATTACAAGCCTAACCAGCGGTGCTGATCACATGTTCCATACTTGCAAAAATTCTTTCCTCATAAAGCAATAAAATTCTGCTTGTTACCAATCAATAGAAAAAACTCTCTTAATCCCATACTGTACATTAACCACATTTTTTTATTAGATCACTTGTACATTAACCACATTGCTTACTACTAAGATGATCTCAAGTTTTAACTTTTTGAGAGGTACAAATATCTGCTTTTCTTTTCCTTTTTCTTTTTTCTTTGAAGAATAAGAAGAATGGAGGAAATGAAGGTTTCATCCAGGAAGATCAGTATAGTATAGCATCCAATAGTAGGACAGTATAGAAACCTTTCTTTTCATTGATCAATAACACAGGAAGGATATATTAGGAAGAGTATGAAGAATATACAAGCACCAGCAATCACAAACAAAATGAAGGAACCAGACATATGTCAATATTATGATCAAAACAGTTGTGGCAATTTCTTTTACCAATTGGTAATTAAAAGAATAAAACACCAATGGCAACTTTTTTTACCAGCTAATAATAAGAGAAAATGGAAGAACAAAGATAAGAAGAATACAGCACTGACAACCCCAACAAAAAGAGAGGCCCAGGTATCAAACAGCATAGAGAAACAAATACAAAAGCAAAAACAAGGATGAGTAAAAAGAGGAACTTTAACCAGAAGTCTTTTTCCCCTCCCTCTCTCATAACAATGGAAAATTCACAAGCAAGTAGATATGCATACCTTTAAAATATTGACAAGATGTCTCTTAGAGTTATCTTGCAGTCGGTCAGCACGATGGAGTCTAGAAGGATCAAGACCACACAGAGCTAGCTTATCTGGTTTCTCTAGACACTAAAATATCAAGGAATCTATGAGCAACCTATATATTAGGTAGATAGAAGATTAATAACAAGATCAGAGAGATGCCTATTAACCAGAAAAAGAGAAAATGCTTGCCTGAGAACCAAAGCCATGGCATGTGAACAATATTCTGGTGCTTCCCAGTCCCTGTAGAGATGAAAAAATGTTGAGTCATATTTTTTCCCTCCCATTTCTAAGTGAGAAATTTTATGAAATGGTAAAATTCATAATTCTATCCATAGTTATATTCTTCTTAATGCAATACGTCTTTCATGTAAAAAAACAAAAAAAAGAGATCCTCTTTCTTCTTCTCATTCCTCCTCCTCTTCCCCCTTCCTCCTTATCCCCCTCCTCTTAAGGAGGTGTAAGCCTCCTTGAGGTTGGGAGGTTTACACCTCTTACATTTCTGAACTATGCATCATGCCTCCAAGCAGTGAAACATCTCGCATCACACCTCCACGTTTTAAAACATTGATTGTGATTTAGTAAAAACATTAGTAACAAGGTGGTGCAATTAAGATTGACATTAGGAGATGCTCACAACTAACCAGTTCCAGTCCCTTGGATCATCATCCATAATGAGAGAAAAATTACAGATGATGTTGCCATAGAATCAATTGGTTGAAGTGGAGAGGCGGACTTGATGTGCTGTATGATTGGCATATATATGTAACTAAAAAGACGGTTCTACAATACATTTAGAAGACCAACATTACTATATGGGACAGAGTGTTGGGCATTGGGCAATCAAGAAATATTCCAAAAAATGAGTTTAGCTAACATAAGGATGTTGAGTGGAAGAGTTGCAAGACTAGTGAAGGACAAAATCAGAAATGATCCCATTAGAGAAGACTTAGGAGTAGCTCCAATTAGTGATAAGATGAACAAGAATCAATTGAGATGGTTTGACCATGTACACAAACAGCCAGTGACTGACCAGTGAGTACAAGTAAATTAGTGCAAGTAGAGTGCTCTAAAAGCACAAGGGAAAACAGAAGAAGATGTGGTCTGAAGTTCTAAAAAATGATTTAGGCTCCATTTGGGAAGAGTCAAGAGTGCAAATACGAAAGGAGCCCATGTGTAATTGTGTATGAACTGTGCATATTTGTATTTGCACTCTTCCCAAACGAAGCCTTAAGGAATTATAATTTGACAGAAAACATGGCTCTTGATGGAAAACAGTAAAAGAGGATTCATGTAGCTGACCTCAAATGGTTGGGTTTAAAGCTGAGTTAAGTTGAAATCAATTGAGTGGGTAAGAAATGGTTTACATTACAGATCAAGCTTGTGACCTTGTGTTTTAACCATGTTGTACTGCCTTTCTTTCCTTTTTTCTCCTATGTTTATTTTATTATTTTCTGTTAGCACTGAAGAAAAGAAAACAAAATCCATGACCATGACTTTGACAGAACGCAGTTTCACCACAAACACCAACTTTCGTGCCCAAACATTCTTCAAGTAATAAAGTTACACACTTACAGTAATAGAAGGGGCGGGGGATGGATTTAAAAGGCTACAGGTAGAACCTTAACTAGGTGAAGCACTATGAATTTACCAAGATATCAATCTATAGGCATAGCTGAGGCAGGAAGGTCTTAATTCCACACAATAGCTACACAGTCATATTTAATGAGGCAATAGGTGATCAAAAGAAAGGAGGGAACCAAGTTGTACCTGGTTGTTAACAAAAATATCCCAAAAAAGTGGCCCAATAATAGCAGTTTCCCAATTGTGTATATGCAAAATATCGGGCTGCTTTCCTGATTTTACAAGATAGTCCAAGGAAGCACGAGAGAAGTAAGTAAATCTGCAAGGATCTAAGAAATATCCAATTAGAAGATATAGTAAGAAATATTTAATGCCTGCAACTTATGAAAAAGAACCACAAAACAACATAATACTTTCACAGAAATGCACAAATTAGAATCTCAACTCTAAAGTAAATCATAATGTTACATCAAACAACTAAATATAATCCAATCCTTGCAAAATGTGTAAAGAGAAGAGAGGAGACTCAGACTGGGGTTGAGAATCCTTCAGCACTTTTTTTCTCTTTTTTGAGAAAAGGTAACTTTCTACTCAAAAAGAAAGATGTATAAGAAACAAAAAGACCCCAACAAAACAACTACAAAGGTAAAGTACAGTTCACTTCTATCTATCCCCGATTTAGAAAGAGCATAAGCTAGAGAGTTCAGTTCCCTCAGTCTTGATCTAAAAGTGCAAGAGAGTTCAAGGGGGAGTTCCCGGATTTCATTCAGAAAATGATTAAATCTCCAGGGGCCCCAGTCAGAATTTGAGATCCAACCAATCACATTCCTTGAATCTCCTTCCACCAGCAGAAGTTTGGCATTAAGAGATTTGACCAGCCTTAAACCAATGAGGAGAGATCTAGTCTTGGCTTCAGAGGAGTCAGCAAAGACAACAGGTCCACTGAAGGCCCGCACAAGGTTTCCTCTAGCATCTGAAAATATTCCCCCCAATCCCAGCTGGTCCCATACGTCCATCGGAACAAGGCATTGGATCAGAGGGAAGCTGGAATCAGTGGGCAGGATCTGGAGAACAAAATATCTCAAAAAAATTGCATTTCAACTGATTTAGATTAACACCTTGGAGAAGCGGGGAAGTGAACATCCAGGAAGTAATAAGATGAAAAACTTTCCTTTTGAGATCTTCCCAAGAGATAGGTTGGCTTTTGAAAATTATCCTGTTCCATCCCCCCCCCCCAAATACACCAGATACCAGCATGAACAATCATTCTCCAGAAAAGTTTCCCATGACGACCCAGCTTACATTTAGGCGAATTACATGACTACCCTTCATGGGGTAATTCATAAAAAGCCCTTATACAAAGATCCTATTTCCATATACCCTTTTGCTTTTAGCCTTTTACATATTACATCATGACAACTTTTGCACACTTCCAACATCCCCCTCCAAATAAAAAAGGATAAAGAAAAAGGAAAAAGTGAAGCTAAAACCAGCAAATTGCGAAAAGGCATGTTGATATAACCACAATTGAGGAACAATACAAGGTGACCTCTAGGTACTTTTTTCTCAAACAGGATACCTTGAAGGCTTGAATCTTACCTTGTGGCCTCCAATTAGATTCTTATAATAAACACCAGTAAAGGCCACCAAGAAGGTTATTTCTGCCATGTTTGAACCAACTAGGTTCTAGTAAAGAAAGGCCATTGTCCAAAATTGGTCCTGGAAATTGGGTAATGGAGGAGGAAAAAAAACAAAATTGGAATTCTCTGACATTTTTATGTATTTTTGTGTTTTTAGATAGCAGGGTTAATTTGGTAAATTACATATTTGGTAGGTCTGGCCTAGTAGTTTGTTTTGTCTAGTTATAGTTAGTTTGTATTAAAATTTTCAAAGTCATTAGGAGCCATTGTGTTTCTCATGATAGTGGCCATTATGTATTTCATATTTCCCAACGTTGTAGAATTGGCCTCTTTCTGGGAGGAGTTAGCAGATTTGGGCGGTTCCCTTACTTATCCATGGGTTATTGGGGGAGACTTCAATGTGACTCTCTATAGATGAAAAAACAAAAAAAAAAAAAAAAAATTCAAGGACCAAAAGAACAAGATCCATGAACATGTTTGCTGAATTTGTAAGCACTTTGGACCTTAAGGATCTTCCCCTAGTGAGAGCCAAATACACTTGGACAAATAATCAAGAGAATCCTACCTTAGTACGGCTGGATAGATTTCTTGTGTCCTCCAGTTGGGAAGAAATTTTCCCGGATTTTAGACAGATTGCACTGCCCAAGACTTTATCTGACCACATCCCCATCCAGTTGCTCTATGATGGTAGAGAGAAAGTCAAGACACCCTTCAAACTTGAAAAATGCATGGTATCAAGATGAAGGTTTCATCCCTATGCTGAAATTTGTTTGGTGTGATTTGCATGTGGATGGAACCAGCTCCTTTGTTCTTGCAAGGAAATTGGCAGCAGTCAAGAAAAGGGCAAATATTTGGAAGGTGGAAAACAGTCTGACCTTGGAAACTGAAGAAAAAAAAAAGGAGCTTGCCTTAGTACAATAGAAGAGATTGACAGGGCTGAAGAGGTAGGGCCAAGGGCAAAGATTTGGGTCTTCTATTGCCTTAGTACAATAGAAGAGCCTAAACGCTACCTTTACTACTCTATTCCAAAGGTAGAAGGGGCTACAAACATAAAAGATTTCAGGCCCATAAGCCTCTTGAATAGTTTCTATAAAATCTTGGCAAAAGTGTTGGCTGAGAGATAGAGTCTTGAGTAGTGTGATTTCAAGAAATCAGAATGCTTTTGTTCGTCAACTTTTAATTCAAAAAAAAAAGAGTGTCTTTGTTCCGGGGAGGCAAATACTTGATTTGGTCCTCATTGCCAATGAACTTATTGACTCAAGAAAAAAGAGAAGACTCCCCTGACCTAATCTGTAAGTTGGACATTGAAAAAGCTTATGACATGTGAATTAGAGGTGTCTGGACTCTGGACTTTGTGTTGGAAAAGATGAATTTTGATCAAAAGTGGAGAAATTGGATTTAAGTATGCATCTCTTCCCCCTCTCTCCTCTCCTTTTCATTTGCCTTATGGATGTCCTTATCCAATTTGCTAGAAGGGATGGCTGAGGCCAGGCTTTGGGAAGGTTTTGCAATTGCTCCGGGAAAGGAAAAAGTTAATATTCCCCAGTTTGCAGATGATACTCTTTGTTTCCTTGATGCTGATCCTGAGCAGTTAGAGGTGTTACTTGGAATTCTTTGTTGGTTTGAAGTGGTCTCAAGCCTAAAGGTGAATCTGGGCAAGAATATGATCATCCCAATGGATCAAGTTGCAAATTTGGAGGAGTGTGCTGGAGTGCTGGCCTGTAGAGTGGATTCTCTCCCTGTTAAGTATTTGGGTCTCCCTTTGGGGGCAAAGTGTACATCGATTGCATTATGAGACCCTGTGATTGAAAGGTTAGAGAGAAAGCTTTCTTCTTGGAAAGTTAAATATCTTTTAGTGGGGGTAGAGTGACTCTCATAAAAAGCACTTTACCTAATCTTCCCACTTATTTCCTTTCCCTCTTCCCGATCCCAGCTAAAATTGCCAAAAAGATAGAGTTCTTACAAAGAAATTTCCTTTGGAGAGGTTGGGAAGAAGAAAAGAAAATCCACCTCATTAAGTGGGAGCAAGTCTGTCTTCCTATTGAAGAAGGGGGGGACTGGGAATCAGAAAATTAAAGGTGCTTAATACAGCCCTCCTTAGTAAGTGGATTTGGATATTTGGCACTGAAAGGGACACTTCGTGGAGAAGCCTTATTGCAACTAAGTTCAGGGTGATTGATGCTCTCAATATCCCCTTCCAAACTGGGGTTGCTCTATCTGGAATGGAATCATGAAATGTTTTCCCTATTTTTATGAAGGGGTTAGCTTTAAGATAGGGAAAGGTGACAGGTTAAAGTTTTGGAAAGACCCTTGGTGTTTGGACAGCTCCTTGGCTGAGGTCTTCCCTCTCCTCTTCCAGTGTGCAGCCAACCAAGATGCCTCAGTGGCTGATTCCTACATCTCTACTGAATATTCAATTGTTTGGGCTCCTCATTTCAGAAGAAATCTGTTTGGTTGGGAGTTAGGTGGAGTTTTGGAGTTGCTGAACCTGTTACAGAGACAGGAAATTGATTAAAGCAAGGAGGATGAGTGGTGTTGGAAATGGAATGGCGATGAGTGCTTCTCAGTTTGATCCTTGGTCTCAAAGCTAAGCTAAGCAGGTCTGGTCTTTCAGATTTCCCTTGGAAACAGATCTGGAATCCCCCCCCCCTCAAAACTTTCTGGTTTGGGCAATGACTTTAGACAAGTGTCTCACTAGATCAAATCTGGAGAGAAGGGGCCTGCAGATTCTGGATCAGTCTTATGGTCTATTACCTGAAACTACAGACCACCTAAGTCTTCACTGTGTTGTCACTTCTAAGGTGTGGGATCACTTTCTCAGTGCTGCTGGGTTAAGTTGGGTAATGCCGAAATCAGTCAAGGAATTGTTGTGCTGTTGGAATGTTCAAGGTCTGAAGAAAAAAGGAGAGCTTGTTTGGAAGTATGTCCCTGCTGTTGTTCTTTGGTCTATCTGGACTGAAAGAAACAATAGAATCTTCTGTAACAAAGTGAAGAGTTCAGAGGACCTTATACACTGTTGTTAGCAAACTGATTTCTTGGGTCTATGTGAAAGCTGAGTTCAAAAATCTGAATGTAACCGAGTTGTTAAGATCCCAATCCTTTTGGAGTCTGTAATCTGTTCAGCTTTCCTGGCCAATCTCAGTGTGGCTAGGGAGCTGTTGTGTACTATTTGTTTGTTGGTTCTAATAAAGCTTTATCTTACCTTTCTCTTTTTTGAAAAAGGTAAGGTAACTTTTATCTTACCTTTCAAATAAAACAAATGAAATTATGCTCCACATGATAGGTATTTAGTCACTAAAAGATTGAGATAAATGTACTGACCGTTCAAAGTCATCTGAGTAACCATAGATCTTCTCGCGGTTAAAAAGCCCCAAATAGAATATTGGCTCAATTAAAGTAACCCCAATACCATATACAACACTGGGCAATAAAAAAGAAAAAGTGAAATCAGCACAATGATTAATATAGTGATGAAGCATAATCCAAGTAAGAACAGAGTTTCCATCTTTTTTTCTCCCCTAAAATTAGAAAGAGAAGATACACACACACACACACATTTAGATTGCACAAAGGAGAACTAGTACTCACCCAGTCCAGATTCTGTTTCCATGCGACTGACCATTGAAATATGAATAGAACTCTGCCTCAACTTTGCGTAGTCCTTTAACTTGATCTAGGTCCAGGCTTGTATACCTGTTTCAAAGAGAACTATTGTAACCTAGAAACTTCATTTTCAACTTAAATCATGTGTCAAGATATCAAGGGAAAAACAAGAAGTTTAATTGCAACTCTTGGAGCTGATATACATTCACAAGTTCATAATGAAATTTGGTAAAACAGTATGTCAAGAATGTGGCATGTTTTAGGTCAACAGTTAGTATTGGCAAGAGAACCCCATCCACTCCTATAATCTAGAACAAAAGGTGAACTTATTGGATGAGTAAAAAGGCATGTAATAAAAAAGCATGTGTATTTAGTAATATCAATTAAAATTTAAATTAACCATATATTAAGAAATAAGCTTAAGATATACAAGTTAAAATGTAGGGGCTAGTAGATAAGAACATAAAATAATTAACTACTATGTTTAATATTTAAATACATTGCATACTTTAAAATGTAAAAGCATAGAAGTTAAATTCTAAAAATAAAAAATACATTTTTGTAAATATGAAATTATAAAATAATTAAATAATCATAAACAAAATAGAACACAACAGTTCTTATAATTAACTCAAGTACTATTATAGATAAGAAATCATTCTAAAAAAAGTAAACAAAGTGACAGAGCAATATAAAGACCAATTTCGTACTTGTTCATTAAACCTCTCAATAGATAAGAAATCATTCTCCCATTTTACAATTCACCCATCATCTCCCTTTATCACATCTTAGAAAATTCTTTAGAGAGAGGACTATGACAGATTCATTATAACTTAGGCACCCACATCCATTTATGTAATGGATAGCTTTAACCAATTATTCATCAAATGTTTCTCCAAAGTTCTATCAATTTATAATCAAACCCCCCCAAACAAGACCATTTAAATCAAATGATATGGTTTAAAATAATACTAAAATGGTAAAGTATAAAATACCTTCTAATCCTCCACATTTAAGATGGTTGATACAATTTGATTCTTAAAATTAGCACAACTATGTGATTGAGTTTCAATCAGGGAACAAGGTTGAACATACTTGGGTAAAATAATCTCCACCAAATTGCCCTTTCTTTGCAGTGCCCAAGACAAGCCAGTCACATATGATCCCAAAGACCCAACTGACACCACCGGTGCCATTTCAGTACAAATGTGGATGACATGAAAAGCTTTTCTGCAATAAAGACAAAAGAAGAGCATAACTACAAGAATTGCAGAAATAAATACAAATTAACATGATTGTGACAAATAACCTTTGTAGAAAAGCCCATGGTTTGAAGGGGAAAGAATAAGTTTCCTTGAAAAAACAATCAACTCATGCATGAAATCCTCTTTGATCCTCAATACCCTTTATTTTTTCCACAGCCTTATTATCCGTCTATTATTTTGAAAACAATTGAGATGACCTATTCAGATTATACTCTCATCACATGGACTTGTTCCACTACAGTATCCCACTTCCTAACCCCTAAATTTACTCCAGAAGGTTACCTTAAATTTTTTTAGAAAAAAAAAACATAAATAATGTTCACTCTTTGTTCTAATGCAATATTCCAAAACCACACCTTGCTTCTACTCTTTTATTTTTATTTAAAGGATAACTTTAAGAAGGGAGATAGATCTGTCCATTGGAACAATATTTTAGAAAGATAAAAAACTTCAAATTGCATCATGTCACATGCCAACCAATACTTCACATTTGCACATTCCTTGTGCAAATGCTAACAGTATAGAAGGGAGTTACTGATAAAAAAATATATAAAACATAAAAATGAAACCTTGATGAAGGAAGCTAGATTTTTTTTTATAGGTAACAGAAAATTTTCACTAAATAGACAATAATATACAGAAAGTGATACAACCAGGGAATGAGTACCCCTTAGAGCATGTGTAACAATTAAGTCCTATGCAATCATTTCCTGCCCAACCCTTACCCGCAGTATCAGGTTAACATTTTTTCCTTAAAACAGCTGAGCCCAAAAAAACCTGTTCCCTTACAACCCCTTGCCTTGCTAGAGAGTCTATCAACATTATGCAACAAAAGGCATAAAATGTTAATGCAGCAGGCCAACAGTATAGAGAGGAGCTTCTGATCAATTTAAAAAAAAAAAAAATGCAGAAGACAGATATATTTGTCTATCAACAATAATGCAACTAAGGGACCGACATATAACAGGTTACTAGGAAAGAGGGTGCAATCCACTTGAACAACCAAGGAATGAGTAATTGAGTATAGGAGGACAAGAATGGATTCAGGGTTGATTAGGACTAAAGACAGGGATTGGTTAGGTTAAAAAAGGTCTCAAGACTTGATTGCAAGAATTACATATTTGTCCCAAAATTGTGAAAAATTTTGAATTGGGGAACATAGGTTTAGGTTTGGATTTATTTTATGAAATTTTGTGTAGATTTTTCCTAGATAGATGCAAGGGGCAACCAAGTTTGGGCGGGGTTCAGAGTATACCTTGCAAAAAATGATGATTAGAAAAAAGTCTTCAAAAGCAGAGAGGCTGAGAAAGGCGGAAAAAAATGAAGGGGAGGAATGGGTGTGGGTGGCAATGAAGTTTGAGAAGGGTCATAAGTTTGTAACAGAGAAAAGAAGAAGAACAGCTAAAGAAGCCGTCAGTGCCTGCAACATTCAGGAAGAAAATATTAATATACCTGTGATCCGAGAGGAATCAGAAGACACCAGCTTGCTACGAAAAGAACCTACGGAGGAAGAAGTGACCCCAGTGGCAGGTTTTGATCTTAGAAGCCAAGAAGAAACAAGCCCGGCACGCCTATCCCAAGCCCAACAAGACCTTGACCAGGTTGGTCTTTTGGTGACGAGACTAGAATCGGTGGGTGGAGAGGGGGGAGAGGTCCCCAGCGATAAGTCATAGAGGAATGCAGCCCTACAGAGGTGAGTCCTGTTCTTTCTCCGCCTTCCTCTCTGCCCAAGACAAGAGAAGTTAGAAAAAAGGAGTCTAGAAGGAAGGGGACTGGGGAAGAAGAGGTGACGGGTGTGAGGAGGAAGCAGGTTGTTTTCAAAACAAAGTATATAATAGAAGAAGGGTGTCTGGGTTGTCACAGGGGTGGAACAGGGCAAGACAACAGAGGGAGAAAGAAAAGTGGGAGGGAAAGGGGAAGAAGGGAAAGAGGATCCAGGGAAGCTCTCTGAAAGTAGAGTTGATCTGGGCAAGATGGTGGATATTGATCTGAACACACTGGTTGATAGGGAGGTTGCGATTGGAAATCGCTAGGCCTTCATTTTTGGGGCAGGGAAGGCTTTTGAGAATTGCTTTCGAACGGTTTGAGAAGGACAAAAGAGAAGAAAAAATCAGAAAGAGAGAGAAAAGCAGGCAGGACAAACTTTGGGATGAGGAAGGGGTGAGGAGAACCACTTCATAGAGGAGGAGTAAGGAGCCTGAGGTTGGGGAGTTAGGAGGGGGGGAGGATGAAGTTGCTGTCCTGGAATGTCCAGGGCCTGAAGGAAGAGAGGAGAGGGCTGGTTAGAAATTTGATCAGAAAACACAATCTGAGGTAGTTTTATTACAGGAAACTAAATTAGAAGTTTTTGACTTAAGATGCAACAGGGCAGGCTGGGGACATGGTTGTATTATGGGATCCTGGGGCTTTTAGGAAGACAGGAGAGTTAGGAGCCTGAGGTTGGGGAGTTAGGAGGGGGGGAGGATGAAGTTGCTGTCCTGGAATGTCCAGGGCCTGAAGGAAGAGAGGAGAGGGCTGGTTAGAAATTTGAACAGAAAACACAATCTGAGGTAGTTTTATTACAGGAAACTAAATTAGAAGTTTTTGACTTAAGATGCAATAGGGCAGGCTGGGGACATGGTTGTATTATGGGATCCTGGGGCTTTTAGGAAGACAGGAGAGCTGGTTGGGGTTTTCTCGGCGTCAGTTTGCTTACAGGAAGCTAATGGAGATTAGAGATGAGTGGTGCCATTGAAGCTTTGGTGGCATCAGTCGGAAAGCTTGTTTCAAGCTGGTTTTTGGTTCTCCCAGAATACGAGCATATTAACAGTGTAGATCTAGTGGAAAACTTCTGGGGTGTTCTAGAGATCCCAACATGTAATGTAAATCTGTTTTCATAGTGTTTGTATGGTGGGGTGTTATCTTGACACCCAATCAGATTGTATCTTTCTTTTTATTTTAATAAAATTTCTTCTTTACTCTTCAAAAAAAAAAGGATGAGAACTGCCAAAATGGCAAAGTTTTGAGATTTTGATGGAAACTTTAAAGAAAACATACCTGAATCAGTTTTAGACCTTTAATGATGTTGAACAAACTCCTTTTGTAAAGAATTTGAAAGTTGTTATAATTGTAATGGATGTTTGCACTTTGCAATTTAGAGAGAAATAGAGAGAGAAAATTCAAAGTCATTTTAAGAGTTACTGAAATCATTCTAGGGCCTTGGGAATAACTCAAAGTCATGCAAGAAGAAAATAAGCTCCAAAATTCATTGCCCATGTTTTGCAACTTAACAGCCAAACTCCTTCCTAGACTAGGAAAATTAAAAGTTGCAACTCTGCCACTCATAACCCAGCTTAAAGAAAGCTAAATAACTCTCGAACTACTTAATAACTCTGTAAACTTAAAGATGGCTAAACTACAATTAGACAAATCAAGTTAACAAGCTGAAATCCACATACAATGGTCAAAATGACAAAAATACCCTACTATACAAAAATACATAAATGCATAGAATTTCAGAAAGTTATAATTGACTCTTTAGCTTCTGAATCAGATGACACATCAATGAGATAGAGAGGCCTTTGTCTTTTATTGGTCTATTTGTCAAAAAGAGAGGGTTGTTGAAGAGAGGAAGAAAAATAAGAGCTAAGAGGGATTTTTTTGGGTACTGAAGCTAAGAGGGATTAGAAGAGCCTCTGGTTGTTCTCCTATTATAAGTGAAGATTCTCAGTTTAAGCTGTGGGCTTAAACTGGGCTAAATGCATAAGCTAAAAGGAAAGCTAGTGATCACAAGAAAGGTTATGCTTTACTTTATGCTTTCCTCTCTTCTGTACTTTCACCAAATTCTCTTGTTACATCAATGAAACTCTTTGGTCTAGTTATCAACACAAAAAAAAAAAAAACTAATAAAAACTTTTCCTATTGCTTCTCATGAAAGAGAGGCAGTGCTTCTGAATCCCATGGAAGTGGAAGCAAGGGTTCAGGCAGAACTTCTGGATGAGTCATCTATTATCAATAAGCAATCACCAAACAAGTGATAGCAAAGAGCTGCACCCAAGTAGATAAATCGCTGGGGCTATTTTTCCTTGGAGCCCAAGATTTCACCATTTCTACATTAGGGATTTGGAAGAAAGATGGAATTATTGAAAGATGAAGAGAAGTCATCATGGTTCATAATGTTGGTCCCAGTTATCTAGGATCTTGGGAGGGATAGACTAGATATGGTCCTAACTTCTGGCATGCTAGAATACTTAGTTTACAGACATGGCTATGGAAATCCAGCATCTTAACAACTGAACCATGTGGAACCGGGCTACTCAAGAGATAGGTGTCAAAGTAAGTTGGAGACAAGCACTTTGAAAGGCATTAGAGGTAAAGGTAAAAATGGGCAGCAGACTTTAAAGGCTTCTTAGTTGTTGCTAGGTGGGTATGCTTGGGGTGGGGTTGGGGTGGGAAGGGAGTTATTTCCTTGTATAAGAAGAGGAAAGGAGGTGTATTGGTGCTGGATGGATTTGGTAGTCAGTCCAGCTTTGAGTTTGAGTGCTTTTGACTACAAATGTTAATAATGTATAGAGTTTTGGGTTGGCAACTTAACCTCTTTCTGTGCTGCCACTGTTTGCTCTGTCTTCTTGGGCCAGTTTGCCTTTATACATTTTATATATCCTTCCTTCTATTTCACTTTAATACATGCTGACCTTGAGGCTGTTTGTCATGTCCCCCCACTTTCCAATGTCTTTGGAAGATTAGGAGTTTGCTTTCTCATCTCATTAATAAAATCCTTATTCATTGTTTATATGCATATATTAAAAAGATCTCTATGAGGTGGCATACCGCTTGCTTTCATCAGAAAAAAGGTGAAGTTCTTCTAGTAGCTCAGAATCTCTTTTCTGCCAGATCTCTGAAAAAGCATCAAGCAGACCAACTTTATTTTCTGTGACCAACCTTCTGAAGTTAGATGCTTCCCCTTTGCTAATCATGCCTGTTAGGACCAATGAATCTATTCGGAGCAGCAACTCAGAGCAGATTGCAGGCTTCTCTGTAGATGGAAAGCCACAATAGGAAAATCATCAATATAGATGCCAACAAATTCAAAAGATGCTTCATTCCCTATAGGGAAATCAAAGGCATTCCCTCCAAAATGCAATCAGTTTGATGTAAAAAGAAATAGGTCATATAAAAGAAAAAAGTGAATGAGAGAGAGAGAAAACTAACAAAAAAAGGGGAAAATACCTGACTACTGCAGAGATTGAAGTAGTTTTTTTTCGCTAATGGGTATTTGTGTCTTCTCCCATATTTTATTAGTGGATATATGTGCCTTTTATTGGTGAGGGTATTTGGGTCTTTTGAATGTCTTAATAGAGGACAGTCTAGTATGTTTATTCATTATCGTAAAGCACATATAACAGAGGACAGTCAACTACTGCTCAATAAAGTTCTTTTCTCCTCCGTAACTACTCTTCTAATCCTCTCTATATTACTGCTTACTGGTTCTACACTTTCTTTTCAGTTTTACAGAGTTATACAAGTATTACAACTAGAGTTCACTAAACCAAACTTTTATTTGTCGAATAAACTCTTCCAAAACTCAATTATAGTGATTATTTATGAACTCAATACAAGGACTCGAGTCTCCAATCTCCATTTTACAATGAAACTGACCCAAAATAACTTCTACTTGCTTTGACACTAAGGCAAACCTACAAAAAACCTGTAAGGGAACTCAAGTAATAAGGATGCTAACTCCTAAAGCAACCCTAATGACTTATTACCAATTCTACTACAAATAAACAAACCAAAATAATTCTAAGAAACCCCAAAAGATAGAAAGACCCAAATGTCAAACCCCATCACAGACTATAATTTGATCAATACAAATTCGGATTTATAAGATCTTGGCCCTATATGACAGATAACAACTACCTATTAATGATAGAAAAGCCATGCAAATCAAAAAAGTGTGTTTGGCCCTGAAGAGAGTGAAGGAAAATGGCATAATTGCAACTTTAACTTTTCAAACTATAAAAGCTTTCTAAACTATCGATCCTATCAATACTTCGAACAAATTCCAGACAATGTGGGGAGGTTGTTTGAAGACTCATTGTAGGCACCAGCAAGGAAAGGAAAATTTTCATGGAGATGTGCAAGGTCAGCAGCTCTTTGGATGGTTTGGAAAGAAAGAAATGCAAGGATCTTCTCAGAGAAATCAGTCAAAGGAGATAGTAATGGAAAATATTATAGTTCATGTGGTCCATTGGGTTAAAACTTTGCCCCTTTTTTCATTAGAAGACATTGTGAGGAGTTGGCACCATATAGCTGACTCAATGTCAACAAGACAAGTTAACAGCATATATGTGGCATCCACCTAGTCATCACCAACTTAAATTGAACTTTGATGGAAGCAGCATGGGAAGTACTAGGAAAGTGGGCATTAGCAGGGTGATAAGGGAAGCTAGATGGGTGGTAGTGGCATTATATTCAGGCCCAATAGATAAAGGCGATTCTTTTTTTTTTTCTTGTTTCATGGGGCTACACAACGGGGGTAGCCCATCCCCAACCCTGGTGGCAGCAGGATTTGATCCCAGGTCTCTACTACGAGTCGGAGATTCTTTGAACTACATTTTGGACTAAGGTTAGCTGCATATTTAAACATTTCTAATATCAAGGCAGAAGGTGACTCAAGCACAACAGT